CAGGATGGTAATACAGGGAGAAGTATGAGAGGGAGAAACTTCTGCAAAGCCTGGAAGAGGGCCAGTCATGGATGAACCTACAGATAGTTTGAGATGAATTGGCTCCCAGTCGGCGGATATAGGGTTAAAGAGGTGTTCCAGTACAGTAGTTTCAACTCTGATGACCTTCGTGCGGTGACTTACCGGGCAACAGAGAGGGGAGGATCATAAACGACAAAGTGGTGGAGAGGAAATAACATGCACACGCAAATTATCGGCAAGGGTTTAACGAATTGAGAGCGGTGTTGTTCATGTCTTCCCTTTTCTCCGGCGACATAGAAGGCCATGAGAATGCGTGCCAGCGGCGATAATTGTAAAAAATTCTCGTTTTCTGCTTTGTGTCTCGTCGCGAGGCACAGACAAATGAGCAAATGGGCTTCTAAACAAGCGTGTGCTGTAGGCGAAAAACAAAAGCAAATCGTTGTTTGCTATTTTGCCACAAGTCAAATCGTTCTAGAAAACGGACAGCGAGCAACGTTGTGTCAGCAAGGCGAAAATAATCACTTCGTCGACAGCCCTTCGTGAAATGAAAGAAAGGTGTCTGCAGGCTGCCTGCTCTCTTAGCACTTCTTTATTTGTTTTCAGCTTTTCTCTGCTGAAATCAATGATTACCTTAAAAGAAACAGCACACGCAGTCGTGGGACGTGGATTATATGTATTTATGGCCAGTGCTGATATTGTACAGTTCGGACTTTGCTAGAAGAATATTCTTCCTTGGGACGGGCATTATTATTTATTATATTAATATATCGCAATATAGAAATGTTCATATTTGAACACGTGTATGGTTTTACTAGTTATTATATTAATATATCACAATTATAGAAATGTTCATATTTGAACACGTGTATGGTAGTAGGTCATCTTGACCCAATCCTTTTACATCACCGACATGACACACTGGCCAGAGGTCTACTGGGTCTGTGACCATCATACGTATTCATCGAAATGTTGATCTTCACCCGGATGCACAGGCATAACTTTACTGTATTCTCAATATTTTCGGAGATGGAATTGTCTCATCTCGCAGTGCGCGCCAGTAACCACATTTTTTCTGACTGACTGACTGGGTGACTCATCTATCCTTGAACTATCAGGTAATTCAACTTCCGAGAGCGAGTTGCCCTGTACTGGATCACGATGACCTGCTCTTCATTTCAGTCACTCGGAGACTTCGTCATTCCGTATAAACCGGAGTACCAATGTGCCCGTAACCAAAAATACTCTACCTTCACTCTTGTGTGCTTTCACTTGTTTGTTCAGTCTGTCTCCTGATTTCTCACGCTCCATCTGAAAAGGCCAGGAAGGAAAGAAAGAGAGACTAGCAGCATAGCAGTCTGCACTGCACTGAAATATTCACAGGCAAACATGACCGACTAATACACTGACTGTGGCTCTGATCGCGATTATAATCCGCCATAAACATGTTATCCTTGCCTAATGCTTGATCGTGCTGGATTGCAAAATCCATATGGCCGGATCTGTCAAAACCTGTGAGAAACGACAAGACATAATAACTTGAATAAACGTAAATGTAATATCAAAAGCCCGCTTCTCGGGATTCTGTCCAATTATGTTTTCGGGGACACATAAAGGGCGATTGAGAATTCAGCGCTCTCGAGAGAGATCCTAGACGACGGCGCTGTCATAGCCGAGAAGAGAGAACGCTTCACTACTTCAACAATGATATGATATGATGATAACGTTGCACAAATGAGAAGGAATTACCGTAGCCATTTCCGCACCTGCCTCGTTGGAGCGACGAAAGTCGGAAACAACAGCGAGTGCAGTCATCGCGGTCATGCGTGTCTGCCTAGTTGGAGCCGGGTCTACTGTAGTCTCACTTTCCTTTTAAACAGAATCTCGTTCTCGTAGCTTTAGCTGTTGTATTGCCGTTACTGCTCGGAAACACTACAACAGGATATCATCCTTCTACGTATCTACGAGACAGGGTTCATTTCACAGTCACCCGTTCTTGTTAAGATTATGATGGGACATGGTACGTAGGGATTCGCGATACAGTATGTGAAGGCGGATTTTCAGAGTTTGCGAGAGGAAGTTGGTGGATAATAAACCCAAGCAAAGAGGTTTTGCATCAGTTCCCTACAAGGATGGAAATCAGAAATTGGTAGAAACTGGATACAGTACAGTATCCTACCGTTGGTACCGTTGGTACTGTACAGCACAACGAGCTTAAGGAAGTGATTGCAAGCAGTTGCATTGACAGTCGAAACGTTTGTCCACGACTGGGGTTATGAACACCTTGTCGTCGGTGGGCGTTGGCAGCCATTCGATGGAGGGTGGCACCATCCACTGTGAAGGAACTACAGAGCTATCCCTCAGGAGGGCATATCGTTGGATGACTGATACCCATCTGTCGTTTGTAATCACGCGACCTCGACAGGTTTCCGTGGAGTGGGCGGCTTATTGAAGGACTGGGTGAAGGGATAGGTTACCTTTGATCGTGCCGTATTTCCAGTATATCTCCAAATGACTCAGCTCTCTGCTGTGATTGCACACACAGTATGTACACGATGTTTGATTTGGAAGCAAGTTACAGTGGGAGGCAGTCTCTGCTGTCTGTTTGGCATGTAACACACACAGCTTTGCGACACGTGCCACGCAACCTCGTCTGGACACCCATAGCCGGAGTCCTCTTTCTCTCTCTGGAAGACGTGGACACCGTGGCCTTCCCCAAGTCCCTGATGAGCACTGTACCTGCAACCTGGCATTCGTCCACAATCATTTCTCGCTCATGTTTGGCAGGCAAGGCTTGCTTTTTCTGCTGCGCTCCATGTCATATTATACAAGTCCAACTTCAGTCCTGATGAGCAAACCCCTTCGAAAGACCCAGAAAAACACAAGAAAAAATGAGCAATCAGTGGCACAACGTGACAACGAGCAACTTTTATGATTTACGTGAGTCAGCCAACAACTCGGATCAACGGATCGGCCCAACTGATGGATATCAAACACTTTCCTTTCCTCAAATACCCCTTCTATAAATAATCGGTCGATAGGCGGGCGTGCAGTGTGCTCATGCACATGACTATCAATAGCACGTTGCACTCTGACTCTTTGAAGTCTCGAGCTCCGTCGTGGGCTGCTCAAAGGGAGGCAGCCAAACCATAGTTCCGTGCCTCTACACCAGACGCTCAGGTCGGGTGACATAGAAAGAGCGGAGGTGCGTCCAGCGAGTCCACACGTATTGCACATACATCTCGACATATATTACTACGCGGAGGGGCTGCTCGAGCGCTCACCTGGGAAGGTAAATTTGGCTCCACGAATCTTTTTTGTCGAGGAGCGAGGACGAGGCAGATGGTCGTTCACTCAGTGCGTGTTGGAAAGTACTGCTGCGGGAGACGCCATGAGCAAAGTCATGGGAATGTAATTCATCGAGTTGCTGCCGCATATGAAAAGGGGCCGACGAGGGAGAGCTCATTGATTCGAACGGCGCGTGCTTTGCAACGAAGGCGAGAGAGTGAGATGCGATGGGAAACAGCTCTGTATGCGAGCACGAAATTCTCGGCGTGGAAGAGCTTTGATGCGGTGGTGGAATGGACGACGAGAAAGGCATCATCGCGATGTCCCCTGCTGCTGGATTTTTTGGAGGTGACGCTGTCGGGTGGCGGGTCGGATGTTTCGATGCTGTCAGCCGGAGAGGCGATCTTTCTAGCTTTGTGTCGGTCTCCGGGATGCATGAGGCTGAGGCATGGGACCAAGGTATGCTGTGAGGAGGGGAACGTTGCACCGATGGGGGTAGCGGTAGAAGAGTTGAGGATCCCGGCGCTAAAAGTACGGGCGTCTATGGCGGTGTGGAAGAGGGAAACGTCGGAGGGACTGCCGATTTGCGGAGCATTTTCCGTGGGCAAATTGGATCGATGGGACGAGGGATTTTGGTCGGGGCACGGCGGCGAGAAGGCGATTGCTGTGGCGAGTGAGTTGCGAAGGCTATTCGCGGAAGGCGCGAGTCGAACGGGGAGAGGGTTTGCAGGTGTGATTGCTGGGGCGATGGTGACGCGCGGAGGGGTGGGAGTGGGGTTGGTGGGGGATGGTGTGGTGTGTGTGGCGGTGTGCGAAGAAAGAGGGATGGTACGCGTGTCTAGGGTGTATAGGGGATTGGAGGCAGCCTTGGCGGTGGCGGCGGGGTTCGGGGAAGGGGTGCGACGGGAGGAACAGGGTTTGGCGGAGATGGTGCGGAGCCGTGTGTTTCAGGTGGGTAAGTCGGTGGAACGGAAAGTGCGGAGCCGACGCCACAACAGTGCCGTCACGTTTGCTGAGACAAACTTGTGAACGGCGAGTCCTTTTTTAATTGAAATATTACACCGTAAGCCCACAGCATTACAGAAAACATCAACGCGACAGTGCGGCATTGGTACAGAAGTACTGTAAGTAGGTAGAACTGCAATTGCATATAGAAACTGTTAATAAACTGTAATTTGAATTACTGTGCAGTGAAATTTTGAGTTGGAATTCGGTGTGTTATTATTAGAATGGTAAATAAATAGTAAATACCACGTGGTATACGTTTTGCAGAATTCCGTCTTCGGGCGTGACGATAATTGCTGAAAAGTGGCTCTGAGAGCCCCAGAGCCTGTCCCAACACAGCCATGTCTCTCTTTCCCTGAATAAAGCCCCTTGGTACTGTTGTAATAAATTGGCGCCAAACAGTACCATACCTCTCTACCCCCTGACACATAATTTCTTCCTCCTTCCTCTTCGGCGCATTCAACATCCTGCCTCTCTTCGCAGCTCGCCGAAGAGTGGTCGCGCTGACGTCAAAGGATCATTTTCACAATGCTTATTGAGGTGTGCCCTCTTCCTCCCAGTACCACCTTACAGCCTATATGAATAATAGTCCTATTTCGTTTGCATGCGCCAGCCGTGAGCTACTTTTCAAAAATGAAATTTTATTAAAAAAAATCCGAAATCAAATTTCGTCTGTATTTATCACATCCAATTCCTGAAAAGTTCGAAAAGGCCGCAAAAAGAGACTTTACGAAACCAAGAAATCACTAAATTGTGACTAATCCCGAGGCGAGAAATGTTCGTCACAATTTAGTGATTTTTTGTGCGCGGTTGTGGTTTACGAAATGACAAAAAATGGTGACTTTGCAGCACCGCTATGCCTCGTACTCAGTACGAGCGTCCGCGTCTCCTACCTTGCCAAGCAAGCGGCATCTTCACCCCCGTCTTCCTAACCGTCATCCCCAGAATGCGCCAGCAGTCCTACACAAAAAGGGTTATGCAGCGCAAGGTACGTCGCTCCAGTAAACGACTACGCTACTCTCTATGTAGTCGTTCGGCAGGTCTGTTACCTATGTACTTTGCACGCCAAAAACGTCGTCTGCGCGTGGACCTTATGAAACTAATGCGCCGAACCGTAGCGATAAGCAGTATGACCTTCAATGTAAACACGTACTCCGACCTTCGATGTCTACAGGACTTTCGCTCCGACGCTCCAAGCTTCAAGCAGCCAGGGAGACGTATACGAGTACAACATAATAGGGGGAGGATACGCCAGCAGATGTGCGCCGCTGGTTGCGCGTAGCTTCGGGGCGTGTAATGGACATAAGCGGCACGAATATTCAGTCACTAAGGGCTTCCAGGCAAGATACCGCTCCCCATGGCACCCCGCGTCTTCTCCGCCACCGCCGCTTCACGCCAGCCATGTCCCGCGCGCTACAACGCCCACCCCTGCCAGTCACACGCGTGCGGCCTGCGTCTGCCGTCGCGCTTCCTGCGCTTCGCGCGGCGCGCCGCGCTCTTGCACGCCCCCGCCGCTCCGCACCCCGCACGATCCGCGACCTCGACGGCGCGTGCCTTCTCGTCCCCGTGCGCGCGTACGACGTGTCGCGCGGCCTCCGCGTCGTGCGCAGGCGCACCGCCCGCAGCGACGACTGCATCGGCTTCCGCGCAAGCCTGCCCGACATCGTCGTCGATTTTGGCGCGCACTCTTGAGACGCAGCGGGAGGATTTTCGGTACCCCTCCAAATCGTCTCCTTTTTATAATCGCTATTCTAATTGCAATAGCGATTCGTGAGAACGGGACCAAACGCAAAAGTCACTATTCGGTACAGCTGTCCTGCGACGTGTACAATATAGTGATTTTTGAGTCACCACTTTTGTTTCGTAAAGTCTCTAAAGTCCTTTTAAGGACTTTTGCGGCCTTTTCGAACTATTATTTATTTTTATTAAAATAAATACTGTAATTCCAAATTTTAAGCGAGTTAGTGAGGTGGTAATACTTGTCTCACATTACATCTAACCCCACTGCTTTTGCATGAGTCGACGTGGGGGAGGCGAGCACTCTGTGGCGAAAAGTTCACTCGGTTTGTTGCTATTCAGTTGAGTTCGGCAAAGAGGAGGTGCCCACATTATGCCGGACGAGGGAGTTATGCTGCGCAAAAAGAGATTTCATGTCCGCAACGAGTCGCCATTTTGGCATGAGAGATTTTGGGACCTTTCATAACATACCGAAATAATGCAGAGGAGAAGGGTACAGTGCAGATCTTCGGAAAGCTTTTTTCAGTCAAAGCTTTTTTCAGTCATGCCCGGTTAATGAATAATGTACCCCCCCCCCCCCCCCCCCCCCCCCCTCCCTCGTTCGCGAGTAAACCGCCTTATTTGAAAAGAAGCACTGATCCTGAGTGGGGACATTTGTGAGTTTTTATTCAAATCGATCCAAATTGAATATGGTTCTGCCGGAATCTGGCTGTTTTCATATGCTCTGAAACCACTTCATACGAGGATCACCACTGCAACATACCACGATGGCTCTCCAATATCGATACAGTATCTCGCCATTCCTTTCTACCTTAATTGAAAACGGAGGAGCGCTGCTCCCATGCACGGGAATTAACTAAGGAAAGGCTTTGCACGTGTAGCAACAGCATCTGCGTACTACTGTATGTACATGGACAGCACTGTGGCGGCAGCGATTGGTGGGAGAGAATACACGTGTGGGGAATGAGGCCTGCAGTACCCAAGGGTAATTTACAGTACCAGGTTACGGTAATCCTACCTCAACAGGGTGAGAGAGCATCTGTACTGTACAAGATACGGTACCCAAGGGTACAGTGTACCGAAGGGTACAGTATAGTGGTACGGTACGTAGTTCTGTAGGCGTCGTCAGCGTAGTCTCTTATTGATACCTTTCCTCACCCTTTCTACGGCAACCGCCCGGCAACAACACGCCACACCGCAGGTATTGGAAGGACACCAAGATCTCACGTCTCTTCACCCTCCGCATCACGCTGTGTCCTTCCTCCGCCACCAACAGCGCATTTCACCCTTTCCCTTTCATGCTTCGACTCACCCTGTGGCCCCCTCTCCGGCACCTGCCTCGCCCTTTCTCCCTACTCTTCTTCTTTCTCCTTTTCCTCTCCCTTCCGTTCGCCACCACCACCACATTCACCATCGACGTCGCCATTGATCAGAACCTCGGTGGCTCCGCCATCCCTCTCTCCCGAAACATTCAGGACTACGTTTTCGGTCTCACTCCGAAAGGCTCCCTCGAAGCAACCCTCACCACAGTTGAATCTGACGAAATACCCCTAACTTTCGTCGTCTGCGAGGCCAATTCCATCTTTGTTCGCTCCTCTTCCCTGGAAAGGAGACATCCTGGAATCCCTCTCGACTCCATTTTCGAGAGCATCGCAGAGGTTCAGTGTGCACCTGACCCGAGCACGAATCCATTGGTTCGCAAGTGCGCTTTCCTCGATTTGACTGGCCCTATCTCTGACAAGTCTGTTCCCCTGCCCGATCGACAAAAGAACAAGCTCTACATTGCAGCCCTGGTCCTATGCCGAGATGAATCTGTTAACGTTATTTTGCGCGTCAAAGGTGAAGCCCGATGGCTCAATCCCGACTTGAAACACCCAAATCTCGGTTGGGAAGAAGTCCAATTCCCACATCTCGCCCTAGCCGCGTTGTGTCTCTACGCTTTTGAAGCTCTTCTTTTCCTCTCTTATCCTTTCATAGCACGTCTGCGTGGCTTGAAGATACCCCTCTTAGGCATCCTCGTCCTTAACGCTGCTGCCTTATTCAAAGCCCTACACGCTGGCCTCACTTACGCTTATTTTTCATCCGTTGCAAGTACTGGCAAAAGAGGTCAATGGTACCTCTACTCCCGTCTGTCCGTCGTTTCTATCGCAGACATTGCTTTTATTTGCGTCGCTGCCGCAATGTCCAGCGGCTACTATGTCCTTCCCGAAGATTGGTTTGTTGATGCTCGTTCTCCCATATTTTCCGTCTACGTCGGCACCACCTTTCAGATTCTCATCATCATCACTGTCAAGCTAATGTCCCCGTTCCGATATGTCAGTAAGTTATTTCATTAATGTTGTCTAGGCACAACTCGTACTTCGCTGTGCCTCGATGCTGACGTTTGCATCCATTCTGGGTTCCATTCTTGGCCTTGCTTTGCATCTTATCTCGCTGATCATTTGACTCGTCCTTCTTATCTCACTGACGTGGCTTTGTAAGGCATTGTCACGTATGTTCTTGCCGCAGGCATTATTGGCATGGTTATGGTCTTAACGTCATACCGCAACTACCATTTCATGCGGCGCTATGGTACACTCATTGAACAGGCCCATATCTACGTTAAAACGACACCCATTCCGCGCATGAAGTGGTTTTACTGTCTCAACATATGTATTGTGTTCCCCGCCTATCTCTTCAAAATAGTCAGCGTTGGGGTTTGGGATTATGGCTTCAAGCGCCCTGATGCCTTTTGGGGCTCGTTAGAAATCGCCGATGCTGTGTTGTTGCTGTGGTATGCTGTTGCCACATTTCCGAGCAAGAAGTCCGCATTATACGTCGACTTGACCAACAACAGCAACGAACGATTACATCTGGCAGGGGCCTGGCAAACGAGCCAAGGGGAGCGCACAAACCCAGACACAGATGGGATGGCAGGTGCGACGACTGTGCGGCGGAGGGTTCTTACGGCTCCTACCACGTACCTCAATACGAGACGACCAGTAGATCGGGAGGAAGGCGCGATCTCTGCTTCTAACATAGAAGGGGTCAGGCCTAATCCAGAACCACCATGGGTGGAGTGGCTTTCAGGGCACACCCTCCCGCGGCCGAATGCTGGGACGTGGGGTTTACATTGGCCAGTAACACGGATTTTGCGCAGAGAGAGAAAGCTTGTTCCTGTGTTGCCCTCCAACATTGTTTTAGGTTCTCCTTCGGAATCCCCAAACACCCTGAAATTATCCGTTGGGGTCCCAACCACGGGCCCGCGATCTGTTCCAAAACGGTTTGACGAAAAAGGAGATGAAATCGCTGGCAGCTCTTTCCAGAATCATCAGCGAGGCGATGCGCCCTCATCGCTATCGCTTATCTCGAGATTGGCTCGTGGGGTATCAGGCATCGAACAGGATTCAGCGTCGGACTTAGCTGGTGTTTCTAGAGGAATGTTGGGGCGTTTCGGACCCAACAATCGCACACCACGAACAAATTCTCATACAGAAGCACAGACGCAAGGCAATGATGTCGGAAGTACGATTCTAGATATGTCAGGCACGTACTCCGGAGGTCAGTCACAAAACGACTATTCTCAAGGGTTACCATCCGTCGCATCCAGTAGTGGATCGTGTGACGGGATCTTGATACGACAGGACGAGGTCCAAGAGGAGGATCAAGCTTCGAACTAGAACTATGCACAGCGATGACGAATGGTCTTGTCTTCGCCCTTGACACGAGGACGAGTTTGATGCCATCCATGGTGCAGCATTAAAACCTGTGAATCATCCCTGAAGTATTCTTCGAGCTTCATAGCCCTCAGTCAAGTTCTTGAATACTGTGTGTTTAGCGGTTCACACGATCATGTCCTGCGGGGGTAACGGGCAGAATTTGCGTCACCGTTCTCATTATCACGTGACTTGAAAAGCCGCGAAAGATTCAGGCAAGAACGTGTAGGTATGAAGAGAATTGCCCTGCTTGAAAGCGCATTGTCTTGAAGAGAACTTGCGTTCCGCAGGATAGTGCTACAAGAAGCAACCACGTCGTGTGAGCTGATTCGAGAAAACCAAGTCGCTACCTAAGGGTACTGCGTATCCTTCTAGGGTAAGTAAGGGCCCAAGACAATGCCAAGAAATACTCCTCACTACCTGGTTAGGGAACCCGCGTGCGTATGGTATCTCATGTCAGGCTTGCATCTCGTTCTTGAACTTGTGCGAATGATTAGGGCAGCGAGGCTTGGTTGAAACTGCACATTGCCTTTGTGACGAATGAAGAAATTTTTGTACATATAGATATATATACATACTGAATATATGTATGCATGGTTATTTCGTGATATTAGCGCTGCAAAAGGGCCTCTCTGAGCCTTTTGCTCGTGATCCTTGCAATCCCAAACTGTACACGGGAGGAAGGACAATCAACGTGCCGAACTCGCCACTTGTCTCTACATTAGTGTACAACAGCTTTTCGATACTGGTCTAACGAGATTTGTCACCACCGACCGGCTTCCGCATGGCCCGATTGCAACAGTAGGGGAGTGCAGAAAATATGAGTGAAGGGCACTGGGGTGTTTTCTGCAGTCAATGTGCACATTGCTAGTGTCTAGGGTCCTCATATGAGGACAACGGCCCAATAGACACTAGATGACAAGTGACCTCATACGAGGTTACTACTGAACTTTTTTTTGTGGACCTGTGCTTTCTCAAAAACAAGGAGAAAGATACCCTCGCCACCGCACTTGACTTCTACGTTGGGGAAGGATGGATTTTTGAGAGAACTGCATGTCCTTTCCAGTCGCTTTCAGAAACGCCTGGCAAAGCACCTTGAAACGTTTTGTATAAATATCGTCGCAATCACAACGCCGTCTTAAAAGGTCAGCTGGGTATTTAATCGACTTTCGGTTCTTAGCCTTTCAATCCATTCAAGACTGCTACCCCGATGTTGTGGAAAAGGTTGTCGCCGAGGGCAAGGCAAGCAAAATAAAGAAACGGCCATATTGACGTTTTAAATTTTGGGATTTAATGCATATGTTTGTGCAAAAGAGCTGGCCTCATATGAGGCCAAACCAGATCCCCTATGAGGAAAATCGCTTGTCGTCTAGAGAGCCACTAGCTAGAGATTCGAGTACAGTACAATATGCAGAAATTTCGATCTTGAACTACAATACCCCTACGTTGAATGCCATGTCTCCAATAATTGGAGACATGGCATTCTACGTAGGGAATACCATCACACATATATTGGAGTCCAATATATGTGCGATGGTATTGGCACGTCGATCTTGTAGGTCGCGCCTAGGGTGTGAAATGTATTTTTCCCTCTGGTGATTTTAAAGTTTTGAGCATGTGTTGATATTGTGACGGCTGTGAAAATGTTGCTTTCATTAAAAACACCTCACTTTTGTGACACGAATGCATAGTCGGGCGTCTCGAGAACTGCTCCGCCTCTGCGACTCTCGTGAAGAGATCTATATTATCCTCGTGGAATGTCAACCAGGCTTTGTCACAATAAGACTACTTGTCGCTGTGATATAGGCGCAAACCACATGATGTAACTGACTTCCACGAATTTTTTGGAAACAGCCATAGAAAACGGAATTTATGCGGATTATACCGTAATTTAACTGATTCTTTCGCATGGCGAGTGCGCAAGATTTGCCAATGCATGACTGTCATTAAGCTTCGTTTCGTTTTGCTATGACCACAGACTCAACTTCGGTATATGATTCTCTTCTGCGCCAATAAGTACATACTTCCTGCATGCGAAGGTATTTCATTTGCAAAACGTCATCACAATTCTGGATGACTTTCATGTGAGGAGCAGCCATGAGCCCCTATTGGAAATATCTCTAGTATTAATAGACTGTTTGATTAGTTCGGAAAGCGTTGTCAGCAAAACAGCAGTACACGGTCATTTATTGCAAAGTGCGCGCGCAGATACACGACGGCGGCGTAGAAGGTTCAAGACTCTGCTGTTACTCAGTACAAGTATAGCCTCTGGCTGAGGTAATAAACACGTATTGCTGCATGTGCCATTCATATTTCTCACGTACAGTATCTTGGACACTATTTTATGCAGCAATTTTTCTTGCTTTTTTTTCAATTTGTATTAACTCGCAACCCTGGTGCATTAATGGACTGTCGGTCTACGTGAACTTAGACCAAAAAAAGCACTTTGTTCAGTCACTCACATGCCAATTTTCTGGATGGCGAGTTGGGGCCATGCTATGTTCGAAGACTGAACAACGGGCGGTGCTTCGGCGTCTGCGCCTTTGGCATTAACACGTCTAGCCAAAAGAACAGGAGATTTTGATCGCGCGGACTTGAAGATAACTTGGCACACCTTGGCGTTCAATCATACGAGTCGAGTCAACGGATACGGTCGACTCAAGATATATGTATTCAGCACTCGGTAACCACAGAGAAAAGTGAATTATATTTAGCATGATAACGAGGTAGAGTCACATTGTTGAAATCAAGGAACCTAATTAGCCTTCTTTCAACGAAGAACAACGAATGAGACGGCTACATCCGAAACCCAGCTTCGTCATACGGAACAGAAAATGAAGGCTCTTGTACTTGTAGAAACATGGATTGAACCACTTACAAGAAACCGTACATATTTAAATCGGACTCGAAGGCAATTACTGTCGGGAAGTTGGGAAACCTCTAGTCAAGCCTTCCCCTTCACAATATCAAAGGAATTACTGGGGTGGAGGCTCTTTTCCCATCTAATGTTTTGCCACAGAAAAAATGCAAGACGCAGGGTGTCGGCCCCAGCACTCCTCATATCATAGTGAGTTCATAAGAACAGGAAATGTAATAAAGTGTAATAATCCAGAGAACAAAAGAAAGGAGATTGCTTGAAAATGCATTCATAATGATATCACAGATGATGTATCCATACGGTGTATTCCTATCTTCGGTATGTTCCAAAGACAACGAATTCCTGGTGGGTATAAACATGGCCTGCTGGGAAATACACAAATGAGCCTCCTTGTTTAAAATTTGTCTATGCAGAATCTGTGATTTCTAATCACAGAATCGGCTCCCCTTGAACGGGTCACTGGTTCAAACCTCCTCTTCAATTTGAGAAGTACTACGGCCTTCCTTCTCTTGATATTTTGTTCACAGTTGGGCATTGCGGGATGCGATGAGAGTACCAGAGAAGTACTACGGCCTTCCTTCTCATGCTATTTTTGTTCAAAGGTGGGCATTGCGGGATGCGATGAGAGGACCATGATAACCCCGGGTGTTTAAATATCCCGTAGTTCAGTGGCAAGGCACCCGTTAGAGTCATAAAAGATTGAAGATGAGTGTATACTTTATGTTGTCATGAAAATCTCAAATATAGATCATGTTGGGGTATATAATATATACCAAACAAAAAGAGCTATATATACTATATATAGCTCTTTTTGTTCCTCAGGACGTAGGGAGGGATCTCCCTCTGAACAGAAACCCCCATGTGAATATGGAAAAATACCCACATTAAACTCATATGTCTAAGCAGGTCAGAAATGCTATTATACTATTGTGGGTGCTTTTATGCCAGGATATTTAATTCGCTCTATTTGGCATTGAGGCACGGCGCAGTGTGGCAAAAGGTTCATAATACCGACAGCGGGTGCATTGAGGATTACGGCACTGTGCAAGCAATTCGACCTGAAGGATTTGGGACGTTTAGGTTTTGCAACATCCGAGCTAAACATGATTTCCATTCTTTACATTGCATCTTCAAAGTAATGCTCTGCAGCCCATTGAACCCGTCGCGCTCCTGAAAGTTCCCTAGACGAGGCAGCTAAAATATAATACTGCATCTATCAAAATGTTCCGACTCAATAAGAGTTTGTTGGACAACGCCACAAAATGTGTCTACGAAGCATTCCCCGCCCATGAAATGTGTCCCGCTCCATCATGGCAGAAGTGCGAGTCAATTTCTACACTATTCCCCCCCTGAAGCATTCCGCGACAGCAGTGAAGCGGGAGCTGCCTGTTTTAAAAGAGAACAACCATGCTTGTCTGTTCGTTTTCCTGGATGTTTGACAATGGTCTGCCATTATTTAGACAAACGCATATTTTCCCTCTGCAGTCGCGAATGTTGTGAATTACTGCAACTTCAGCATTCTAGTAAAGCCTTGGGTGCAATAGATCGCATGTCATATGCATCCCTTACCTCAAAAGCACACATTGTAGAGTTGATGACAACGAAGGCATCCCCTTCCAGAATTTTCCGTTACGAGGTAGACTTCACTACGAAGAATGTGAAAATAGCGCTATGAAGTCCTTGTTAAGAGTAGGATGTTGTGAGATGCCTTACTTCATTCTGCTGTTATTCAAATGGATTGTATACGCCCTTGAAATTGTGAAAATGCGTACGAATTTTGCCCAGATTGCTTGTTCTGGTATGCTTGCTGTAGCGCTCGTTGTGTTTTTGCGTGGCGCTGAATTTGACATCTTGTCGGAGGGGGAGCCTTGTTTCGATGTTGTTTTCGCAATGAGGAAACCTCGAGTTTGCGAGTAACTTGTTGCACATCCTCTCCAGATTAAGATTCTCTCTCTCAAGTGTGCACGCTGTTGTGCACTACGAGGGGGAACCGGTTGTGTAGCTTTGTAGTACAAAGTTTGTACACTGCCAATCAGCAGTCGCGCAATACGGAACGTGAACAGCACAAAATAATAGAAGGGAAACGTGAGCTGTACTTTTCCAAAGAGACAAGTGATCTTATAGATGTCTGTAAGGGGCTGTCTACAGCCCCTTTATGCGTCGATGTAGACGTTGACGAATAGGTTTCTATTTTCGTATGCATCCGAGCAACAATGAGAACATGTTCTCTCAGTATTGCCGAAAAGAAGCACCCGGGCTACGGTCCATGCTTCGTTGTTGTGCAGTGCAACTCTCTCATAACTGGGCAACTCATAGTAGAAAACCCTCTGTAACCGAATAGAAAATCCATCTACCATGTCTGTGTAGCTACCCACATTTAATTGGAAAACAATATTGGGAGAATACTTTGAATAAAATATGCCTAACCAGCGCACTGGACGCATATCATACAGGCTCCTTGCTCCTTGCTCCTTGCACTCAGAAATTAGCCTCTGTATTTTTTGTGGGTCAAGGCGAACGTGGCGCATGTATAAAAGAGTGCCGTTCATCAAGGGCAATGCGCACCTCTAATCTCTATCGGACCATTGTTCTCATATGAGGACACTATTCGACCT